CGCGGCCCACGTCCCGAGCTGTGTCGCCGCGCTCCCTCGGGGCGGGTCGGACCAGCGGGCGGGCGGCAAGGACCGGAGCCTGGCGGCGCCCACGACCGAGGCCCGCAATGGTGATCTGCTGCGCGGCCGTGAACTGCTCCAACAGGCAGGGCAAAGGCGAGAAGCGCGCTGTCTCCTTCCACAGGTACGCGGCCCGCCTCCGGGTCCGCCACGCCCCCGCCCGGGCCGGGCCCGCGGGGAAACTGAGGCCGCGCGGTGGACCTGGCTCGGGGGACCGGGAGTGGGGGGCCGGCTAGCCGAGCGTAACTGAGGGAGGTGGACGGGTCGTGGAGCTTTGTGACCTTGGCCCGGACCGCCGGCTTTGGGGACCAGCGCGGCCATGCCTCGGGTAAAGCGGACGGAGGCCCCCGCCGCCGCCACCTCCAACCAACCCGCGACGCACTGATTTGGGCTGGCGCTGCCAGTTTCTGGAGCATCCCGCAAGGACGCTTTCTCGGGTTAATCCTGCTCTTAGGTTTCGAGCAGTTCTCCGCTCTTGCTCCTCGGCGGGGCAGCCCGTCTGGAGGTGTGTGGCAGGAGTGCGGCCCGGCGCACGCAGCTCTACTTCCTGCATCCTTAGCCCCTCATCGCTCTCCTACGGGGGTCCTGCGGCCGGGACACTGGCACTGAACACCTCCCTCATCCTGCATTCCAGCAGAGGCTGGCGGGAGGACCGTGGAAGGGCTTTCGGGACGGTTCTCGGGTGGCCCCGGGGCGGGCCGCGCCTTCCTAAGGCTTTCAAGACTCCCCCGATCTCAGTTGATCCTCTCCTGTGATTTTCAACAGGAGTGAAACTGCGAGCAAAGGGGCTCGGCGTTAGAAGCCACTTTGCACATCGTGACACCTCTTAGTACTTGGTGTTAAAATTTGAAGATGGGCATGGCACGTGCCTGTTGAAAGTTCCCAGGGTTACATTAAGTCTTGGGTCTTGACGGTCTGGTTCAGAACAAAACCTAGTAACGTTCAACAGCCTTAACAAATATCAACCAGAATGTTTCCTTAACAATTTCGGTTAAAACATGCACCAGAAGTTTTGTTAACGATTTTCGAAAATGAGGCAGGGTGGCAAGGACTGCTGCTGGCTATTCCGATGTTCTAACCTGGTATGGGGGTAGACGGTGCCCGAACTGGGGGCGGGGAAACTCTTAGGAATCCAGCTCACAAAACATTGAGAAATAAGGTTAGAAGGTCACGTTGCTTAGAATGTCCAGGTCATCCTGTTAGGGCTAGTCTTTGTCCACAGCTGCCTCCTGAGGGCTGGAAGACCTCAGGTGAAGCTCTGGGCAGTTGATCGCGGCCGCCAACCCTACAGATCCTGCCTTCGTAAGTGATCCTTAAATAGCTTCATTAGATCAGGGAAGACATTACTAAGTATGTTGTTGAGCATTTTTTTTTTTTAATTTTCTTGTTATTACATAATATACAACATAAACTTAACATTTTTATTTTGGGGGTGTTTTGGTTTCTGTTGTTTGTTTTTGGTGTTTTGAGACAAGGTCTCATTGAATAGCTTTGTTGGCCTACAACTCTGTTATAGTCTCTGTTGGCCTCAGACTTGTGGCCATCCTCCTGCCTCTGCTTCCCAAGTGCTTGGTTATAGGATTATAGGCATGAACTACCACTAACGACTTGTTGCTCTTTTTTTGAGATGGGCTTTCTACATAGCCCTGGCTATTCTGGGACTCACTGTGTAGACCAGGCTGGCCTTGAACTCTCAGAGATCCACCTGCCTCTGTCTTCCAAGTGCTATTCTCCCAGCTCCTTTTCCTTTGTCCTCCCCACCCCCAGACAAAATTTCAGCTAAGGCTGTCCTCATGTAGCTAAAGATGACACTGACGTCTCAGTCACCCCTCTCACCTCCTGGGTGCTGGAATTACAGGTATACACTACAGCACCTGGCTCTTGTTTTCTGTTTTTTTTTTTTTTGTTTGTTTGTTTTTTTTGTTTTTTAAAGAGACACTAAGTTACCCAGGTAGGCCTTGAACTTAGTTAGTATAGCCCAGGCACATGTTGAACTTGTGATCCTCTTACTTGAGAGTAACCAAGATCCCTGACTTGACTTGTACCATTAGGCCTGGCTGGAGCTTTGGGGCTTTATGCTAAAGCTGTTCCCTATGCCCTCAGCCACTTGAGCCTCAGCTGTGATTGTTTAGCTGGCCTCTGAGAGATTTCCTGGTTTCTTGTTCCCAGCTCTATCGCCTGGCTTCTCATTAGGGTTTTAGCATTCTTTACCCTGCTTTTTGGGTACTGGATGATTTGGTCAGTGGTACACTTGTGAAAGCTATTTCCTGCTGTCTCTGAGCATCCTTTGTGCCTAGGGTGATTTGCCACAGCTAGGAGGAGTATTCTTCATTCCTCTCTACCCTATAAACTCAGGGTCCTAAAAGATATACAATAGGGCTTTCTTGAAGTGTGATCCTAATTAGTCGTGGAGTAGATATTGAGGGTGAAAGCTGAAAGATCAGTAATGACCTGCAAGATGGTCCTGAAGTCCTTATGAGTTTTTAAGTGAATGTCATCGGTATGGGTTTGGATGCTTGCAAAAATACTTGATTTGCTTTTATCGATGACAGTTTTAGGGAAAGGCACCTCAGTAATTCTAAGTGCTTTGTGGTTTGTCCTGCAGGTTCCCCCTAAAGGATTCCAAGCGGCTGATCCAGTGGTTAAAGGCCGTTCAGAGGGATAACTGGACCCCCACTAAGTACTCATTCCTCTGCAGTGAGCATTTCACCAAAGACAGCTTCTCCAAGAGACTGGAGGACCAGCATCGCTTGCTGAAGCCCACAGCTGTGCCCTCTATTTTCCACCTGTCGGAGAAGAAGAGGGGGGCTGGAGGCCATGGCCATGCTAGGAGGAAGACCACAGGGACCATGAGGGGCCACACCAGCGCAGCGGCAGGGAAAGGAACCGTCGCTCCCCCCCTGCCCTCAAGTGATACCTCCATGGCCAAGCCCGAGTCCCGAAAGTTGAAGCGAGCTTCTCCACAGAGTGATGCAACCCCCAAGGCCACCCCAGGTGCTGTGAGTCAGGAGCAGGGGCAGTCCCTGGAAAGAACTTCAGGAGCTGGACTGGCCGCCCCCCTGGCCAGCAGCCGGGAAGAAGCAGAAATGTCTGCTACAGAGGCTGACCACCAGAAGGCCTCTTCCTCTGATGACGCAGGCGGGGCAGACAAGAGCGGCATCTCCATGGACGACTTCACACCCCCGGGGTCTGGAGCTTGCAAGTTCATTGGCTCACTTCATTCTTATAGTTTCTCCTCCAAGCACACTCGAGAGAGGCCATCTGTACCCCGTGAGCCCATTGACCGAAAGAGGCCGAAGAGAGAGACGGAGCCAAGGTGCAGTGGGAATAGTGTGGCCCAGAGTCCCCCAAGTTCCTCGCTCACAGCAACCCCTCAGAAGGCTTCCCAGAGCCCCTCCGCCCCTCCGACTGATGTGACCCCAAAGCCAGCTGCAGAGGCCGTGCAGAGTGAGCACAGTGATGCCAACCCCATGTCCATCAACGAGGTCATCCTGTCGGCCTCGGGGGCCTGCAAGCTCATCGACTCCCTGCACTCCTACTGCTTCTCGGCCCGGCAGAACAAGAGCCAGGTGTGCTGTCTGCGGGAGCAGGTCGAGAAGAAGAACGGAGAGCTCAAGAGCCTGCGGCAGAGGGTCAGCCGCTCCGACAGCCAGGTTCGCAAGCTGCAGGAGAAGCTGGAGGAGCTGCGGAGAGCCAGTCTCCCCTACCTCCCCTACCTAAGTGGCCTGCTGCCCCCCAGCCACGGTCAGTACTCAGCCAGTGTGCCCCCCTGCCTTCCGTACTCTGACTCCCAAGGGGTTTCCTGCTGTGTGCTGGGTCTCTGTGGGCTGCACGTCCCTCGTGATCTCATGAGAGCGCTCATTGGCCAGGGAGTCCAGGGTATAGGAGCCCTAGTCACAGGAGAGGCCTGTGTACATGAAGACTTAGCATTGTAGGTAGCCAGGCATGGTGGCACACACCTTTATTTAGTCCCAGTACCCAGGAGGCATCTGTTCGAGTTCGAGACCAGCCTGCTCTATGTAGTTAGCTCCGGGCTAGCCAGGACTACCTGGAGCAGTGGTTCTCAACCACTAATGCTGCGCCCCTTTAATTCGGTTAGTTCTTCAGGTAGTGACCCCAACCATGAAGTTATTTTCATTGCTGCTTCATAACGGTCATTTTGCTACTGTTATGAATCATAATGTAAATATCTGTCTATCCTTTTCTTTTTCTCTTCCTTGGTGTTTTGAGACAAGGTGTCATTGTGTAGCCATGACTGTCCTGGAACTCTCTCTGTAGACCAGGTTGGCCTTGAACTCAGAGATCCACCAGCCATTGCCTCCCAAGCTCTGGGATTAAAGGTGTCTACCATTACTGCCCTGCATATATCTGTTTTCTGATGGTTTTAGGCAGCCTTTGTGAAAGAATCCTTCAACCCCCATAGGGGTCACGACCCACAGGTTGATAGCCACTGAGATAGAGAAACCCTGTCTCAAAACAAAAATAAAAAATCAAGTCAGCAGGCAAGGTTTCAGATGCTTGGTTCAAAGGCTTTTCATTGAAGGGGGAAGGATTTTAAGGAAAATAAAACATACAAATACTTTTTTTTTTAATCTGGGCTAGGTTTGAGTCAGGGTCTCGCTATCTTTCTCTGGCTGTCTTCTATTCTGACCTTCATTCACATCTCACTGTGTAGACCAGGCTGGCCTTGAACTCACAGATCCACTTGCCTCTGCCACCAGAGTGGTGGATTCAAGTGCTCCACCACCTTCTGGCTAAACTCACTCTTTTTCAAGTGTTTAGGAAAGCTGAGTGTGGTCTCTCATACTTGTAATCCCAGGACTGAATGCTAAAGACTAAGTTTTGAAATCCAGCCTGAGCTACCTCGTGAGATGTGAGTGAAGGTCAGAGAGACCTTTCAGGAGTCAGTTCTCATCTTCTCCTGTGATAGTCCTCGAGATGGAACTCGGGGCAGCTGGGCAGCAAGTGCCTTTTCTGGCTGAGCCATTGCGGTGGCCCTCTTCTATAAAGATTAAATGCTAGATAAACCAAGTGTTCATTATGCCTGTCCTTCAAGCACTTGGGCTGAGGCAGGATAATTACCATTTATCTGAGTTAAAAAAAAAAAAACAACTTTTTACATACCTCCCAAATTTTATTCTCTGTTGGTGTTTTTAAAAGTTGGTGTGTAAGTTTTAAATATTAATTGGCTATGTTTTTGGTTCTCCCACTATTTTACTATTTTTTTTTATTTAATTGTTAAAATTGCATTTATTTTGTGTGTAAATGGGGGTCAGGAGAGTGCTGTGGCACACATATGCAGATCTGAGGGCAATTTTGGGGCGTGGTTTCCCCTCCTACCCCATGGTCCCAGGAATTGAACCCAGGTCGTCAGACTTGGCAGCATGTGCCTTTACTTCCTGAGCCGTCTTACCTGGCCCTTTATTTTACTTTTAGAAAGTGATTTCTAGGCTGGGCATGGTGGCACATACCTTTAATCCCCAGAACCCAGGAGGTAGAGGCAAGTGGATCTGTGAGTTCAAGGCCAGCCTGGTCCACATAGGTCCATGTCAGCCAGGGATGTATAATGGGACTCCAAAAAGGAAAAAAAAAAATTCTGATTCATAGGTATTCCTCATAGAGTGAGGATAGTGTGGATAGTGTTCAGTGCATATGGAAAACTTTTCTGACCACATTCACTTTGTCTGTATCAGCATTTGCTCGTACAGGTATGATGGCCCTGTCTGCTGGAGCAGAACTTCCAGGGCCTTGAACCTCTGGAGATAGCGAAGCCTGTGAGAGTTGAGGTGCGTCCTCGGAAGAGCAGCCCCAGTCCCACGCCGATCTGGGTGTACTGCTTTTGTGTTGCTTTTGGTGCCCTTTTGCTGTGACCACTAGCGCAGACCTGTCTGGACAATTAGCCCTGGTTCTGTCTACATTGTTTCCCTTGTTATTATTATATTGTTTCTTTCTCCTTGTTTTGGTTTTACTTATTCTAAAATTTCTAGAAAATTTCCTAACCTAAAGCTGAGGTTGAGGCTGTGAGTCTTTTCTACCTGTGGGCCCATTCTGGATTTGCTTTACGTTATTCTCATTGGTCACCAATACTTTGTCATCTCCTAGAGCTGTTTAAATGGTGGCGATGGTCCTGAGGTATAGGTAGGTTGGTAGAGGGGAGAGATTTTTTGGAGTTATTTTCAATTGTATAATGAGCTTTAATGCTATGCTGTCTTTAGGCCTGCTTTTGGGAAATGTCGAGATTTCACTGTGGCTGGCACAGTGGTTTGAACTCAGGTTGTCACACTTGCCAGCAAGTGTCTTTACTTTTGACTTGAGTTCAGAAGAAAGTGCCCTCCCCCTGGCTGGTTCCATTGTTCTCCTCCTGGGGCTGAGACTGAGCCCTGGGTGAGTCAGCAGAGCTCTTGCCTAACCGAGGTAAGGTCCGAAGTCAGCTGATTTCTGGAAAGGTGAGGCACTCTCTTGAACACCCTGCTGCCATTCCGGAGCTGCCTGTGTCTTCCTGTGCATCTGTCAAGTTACTGGTTGTGGTCAGTCTTTGAGATCGGGTCTCACTATGTAGCCCAGGCTGGCCTTGAACATAAGGCTATCTATCCTTCAGCCTCCACTTCCAACATTGATTATACACCTGAACCACCACACTTGCCAGTATCTGTCAGCTATTGCTTTAGATTCCAAACCTTGTTAGATGTGTATGTCTTCCTCATGATCACAAGCACGGAAAACCTTTCTCTCATAGAAAGCCCTCTTTTTTTCTCTCTCTCACTTTGTTTCTCAGGCTTCATTCCAACTTTCTGTTCTGCCTCAACCTCCAGTTCTCTGAGTAGTTGGAGTCTCGAGATTTAGCATCATTGCTTCTAGTTCAAGGCTTCCTCCTCCTCCCTTCCTTTCTCCTCTCTTACAGTGTAGCTAAGTCTAGCCTTGAACTACTGATCCTCCTGCCTTGTCCTCCCAAGTGCTGGGATTATAGGTGTGAGCTACCACACCCACCTATGTATTACTTTCTTGTCATGTTGCTTTATTTTATAAATAAATTCTAATTGACTTTAAGAGTTGTTTTATAAAGTACTTTAATCTACTTATGATTATCGTTATTGGTAAGTTGGAAATGTTATTTTTTAACTTGTTAGCCTTTCCCTTTTTTGTTGTTAATATGTTTGGTTTGGAGATGGTCTCACACCACAGCTCTAGCCAGCTTGGAGCACAGCTGTGTAACCCAGGCAGCCTTAAACTCATCCATCCTCCTGCTTTGGCCTTAGTGTTGGTATTGCAAGCATGAGCCACCGTGCCCAGTCTGTTACTGTCTTAAAAACAAACATGTAACGCTAGGTGTGGGAGTAGACATGCCTTCAGGACGGGACGGGAAGACAAGAAAGTCAAGATTTTAAGACCATGCTGGGTTACATGAGACCCCATCTCAAAAATAATATAATATATGAATGCATTTATGTGTAGCATTCATCTTTCTGTGACTGTATAGAGCTGATCAGCTACCATGTATTAGCCTCTCTAGGTCAGATAGTATAGGGCTTTGGTTTGTACTGCTTGTTTTTTTACCTCTCCAAGTAACCATTAAATATTTAGTGTTAAAATTAATATTCTGCTGGCTACTTTATTCACCACTGTCTATGTATCTAAGTTTGTCCTTTTTGAAAATATCTAGTGGTTTAAAGGATTTTGTGTTTTAGGTTTTTTGTTGTTTTTTTGTTTTGTTTTGTTTTGTTTTTTTAATTTATTAGCAGGGGCCAGAAGAGGACAGTGGGTTCCCTGAAGTTACATGCATGTAGTTGTAAGCTATCAGACGTGGGTGCTGGGATTTGAACCCGCGTCCTCAAGAAGAGCAAGTACTTCTAGTCACCTAGCCATATCTTTAGCCCTTTTTGTTTTTGAGAAGGTTCTCACTGCCTGGTCTAGAACTTGTTACATAGAGGTTGTCTGGCCTCCAGTTCACAGAGATCCACCTGCCGCTGCCTCCTGAGTACTGGGATTAAAGGCAGGCGTGTGCCACCATGCCCAGTATCTGGTAATTTATTTTATTTTAAGTTCATGTTGTAGTGCGGTTTTGATAGAGGGCCAGTTTGATTGACAGGGTTTGTTTTTGTTTTCCCTTGAATTTAAACGCAGCTCTTTAGTCTGATTTGAAGGAATTATTACACTGTACCTGCCTCTTACACCAGTTCTACTCCGGTTGCCTTAGCCACGACTTGCCCCTTCTTCCAGAGTAGTACGAGTTCTTTTGGCCTGTTGGTCCTGCTGGGGATCTCGTTACTCTTGTGTGTTCTTGGACCTAAAAGCCCAGGTTTTCAAATGTGGAATTCTGTCGTTTCTCATCCTGTCTGGTGTGTTGGAAAAGGATGGGCTGGTCTTGGGCAGCATTGCTCAGTGAGGTAGGGGATTGCCCTCTGCTGTGTAGGGGCCGTGCCAAGAGCTGCCTGGAGACAGGAAGCAGCAGGCAGAGGTGCTGGCTGGGGCCTGAGAAGGAAAGCAATGTCGGGGAGGATGGTCCCTCCTCACCCGCAGGAGCCGAGGCCTGGGACAGGCTGCCAGGGGAATTGGGCTTAGGATGCTCTCAGGCACCGGCACAGGGCTCCAAACAGGACCCAGCCTAAAATTGAGGTGTGAGATCAGAGTGTGTGAAGGACTGGGTGAGGGAGGGTCTGAGCTGGTCCCTTTCTGGAAGGGGTTAAGAGGGAAAGGGGTTAAGAGGCTGTGTGGAGAAGGTGCTGCTTTGTCTCCAGGCTCACTGG